GCTTTAGAGGACATAAACATGCTCATTGTTTTTCTCACATGATTACCCTTTCAGCTTCGAGTGCTAACATCATCATAGTTACAAGTCTGTTGTGCCACGCCTCAAGACAGATTTGGCCGTCACCGTCACATTTTCCCACATTTCTCACGCTTCATATTCAGCTTGACGTTATACCTAATAACTGTTAACTGTATGCTGCTGGGAGTGACATGGTTGGAATGAAGATTTCAAATACTAGATGTACATTACTTAAGATGGCGCATTACACGTGCTGCAATGCTCAGTTGACCGCTCGAATAAAGCGGCTTCGCCTTGTATTGTTTGAGAAGTAAAATTAAATGACGATAATCCTGCTCCCAAATCCTGTGATCCACATACGTAATGAAGCTGTCGGTCAACATTGCAGTTCCCTCTCGCTCTTAAAACCACTGAGCGGTGTCTTCTTTGTTGTCTGTTGTGGTTGTGAACGGCACACAGTGGTAACACCGGTGTGGGAATGTAAGGGTGGTGGTAACTGACTGAATGCTGAACACCTGTGTTCAGTGAATTTCTGTAGTTTTGCTTCCTCTTCCTCACAAGGTGTGTTTCTTAGAGTTCACTTTTAGGTTAACCTCTCCGTTGCTGATGCTTCCCAACGGCCATCTGATTTTAAAACAAACTTGTCCACGACAACAAATGATGGTCTCTCTTGATGGGGTTAATACAGCTTTCAATACTGTCAGTCATACAGCTCTCGTGTTTTACAGTTCAGTTAAGAGTTTTCAGCATTACAATATGTACGAATACTGCTTGTCTTGAGTCTGAAATAGAATAGATTTCAACCATGCTTGTGGCATTTCTCTCTGGATGTATTTAAATAATAAGTCAGTATACTTTTATACCATCTTTAGTTTTTCATATTATTTAATTTCAGAGCTATGATTTAGTTATGAAGTGATGAGTTGGTTTGATAACTCAAAGGCGAGGCACACTAACACAGGAGCCTTTCTGGTTTCTGTGCGGTCAATAGAAGGAGTATGACAGTTGTATGAATAAGGATAAAGTAAACAGAGATATTAGAAATAACCCAACGTTTCAGGCAGTCAGTGAAGCGGAGGACTCTTGAAGAGAGCTTCACATTATAGAGGTGATTCAACAACAACACTGTCACCCGTGCCTCTAAATGTGAAGCTTTGTCAAAGTTGTTAAAAGTGTTGAGAATAGGTCATGGAAACTCGACGCGCTGGCCCGAGAGGGGTGTTTCTTTGAGCGTGTCCTAATAATAGGGTGTTAAGTGTTTTTGAATTCTGGCCATGAGAGACACACCCTAACCAGGCAGAAAATGTTCGAGTACAGTTCCTTTTTCTGCCAGAATTAGCCGCTCTGTCACAGGAAACGAAAGCGCTGAACCCACAGCAGGGTTGGTCACATGAAGTGAACTCTAATCTACACTCGAATGAAGCAGATGCTCATGAAAGTTCATACTTTGTTTAAAGAGCGTTACGTCTACTCTAGATGACTTGAGGTGTAGTTCGGCGTAGGGCCCAGATTGTAGGTTTTCACTACAACTCATTCTGCCCCTGGTGATGACAGGAAGTGAGATGACGGGGGCAAGTATCCTGAGTAAATGGGGTCCTGCTGACATGAATGGGGAAAGAACGCAACTCTAATCAGGCGCCGCAACTGGGAAATAATGCACACCATTGTTGTCCCGGGCAGGCGTGGGCCTCAGCCTGCACAGTTATTTCCCAACAGACATGCTTGCTGCTGTTTTCGTCATCTCTTAAGAGGACAGAGAAAATGCCTACATGGTCGGTTTACTCAGTACAGAATGAATTTATTCTCTGAATTTATTCATTGAGGGGGGTTTTAAGGTTAAATATATTAATTTGAATCTTGACATATCATCTCTTAAGAGCAGTGCCTCACTGGCTAAATAGCTGTCACAAAGCGTGCTACCTGTAGAGGATGAGCCTACTTATCAAAGCCTGCTCTGGTTGAATGCTTCTTGTGCAGATAGCTTAGCAGATAGCTGACGGGTCGCTTGACACACGACAGGATGTAGGCGACTCTCATGAGAGCTCAGTGTTCAGTAGCACTGCCTCACAGCCACAGAGGATGTGGTTACTTCCTGTAGATAAGTTCTATACTAAGACAGAGCCAGATTGGCACGTTTCATCGCTGACTAGGCGGGGACCTTGCGACACGATCGAATCCTCCACACGTCTAACATTTTTCAGGGTTGATGCCGGCGTGGTTTAGCCGGTTGTTCACAGTAGGCGTGTGTGTCCTGTGGAGGGTGTGCACAGAGGGTTGTGTGTGCACCTCTGCTGCTTGAGCACAGCCAGGTTTATTCAAAAAGAGCTGATCAGCCACTGTATGTATGATTATATGTCATTATATCATCTTTTCTAATCATTCTCATGTGGCATTCTGATGATTATTTCTATTAAATAATACCACTAGGGGGCAACATTGAGACATTTTCAAATTCTTTATTTTAGTTAAAGCATCGAGGGATTCAGTGTTTCCTAAACATGAAACCATTTATAATAATCTCCTGATGATGCCAAGAATGATAATGAAGACATACAAAGTCATTTGCTCTTTTGAATTTTAGCACAATATGTATGTGAGATATTTATATATCCCCCAAATATCCCCCCCTCATTCTTCCAATGCGCTCTCTTCCTCAGATTAGTGTGAGAGTCACTACAATGGACGCTGAACTGGAATTCGCCATTCAGCCAAATACAACAGGAAAGCAGCTCTTTGACCAGGTATGAAAACAGATGATTTACAGTGACTGTGACATTCTTGTGTGGTATTATTAAGAGTCATTTAGAGAACATAAAAACAAAATTTCATGAAACTATTAGCAGCAGGTAATTGGCATGGAGCTTTATTTTCAACTACAGTGTAAAAAAACTATTAACTGTAATAGTTCTATAACTTATTAGGTACATAACAATGTCAATTTAATACATTTTATTTGCCATTGTAACCTATATGGGTTAACCTCTGCTTTATCTAGAAAATACAGTTATTAAATTGTCTAAGGAGCATATACTTTATTCTTAAAAAAAAATTCTGGGGATGCCGTCACATTTGTTTCTATTTTTATCACATGCAGGATTAGGATTCTCTTTTTTATGTCACAAAATAATTACTATTTGCTGTTTTTGAGTGTATGAAACAAATAACAACAAACATGCAGTAGATGACGATGGAACCTGTTCACTGTTCACTGTGTGCTCGTGTTGTGTAGAGGATCACACAATACTTGTGCTTTCACGTTTCCAGGTTGTTAAGACCATCGGGCTGCGAGAGGTTTGGTACTTTGGACTCCAATACCAGGATACGAAGGGTTTCTCCACATGGCTCAAGCTCAATAAGAAGGTGAGATCCTCACTACAACGTCTAACACAATATCTGTTTTGCCTTTCTTTGTCAAAATTGAACTCAAGTCTATCTACAGAAGCATAACCTCTACCCCCTCACCCGGGTCACGCTTTATTTTAGGTGACGGCCCAGGATGTGAGGAAGGAAAGCCCGCTGCTGTTTAAGTTCCGCGCCAAGTTCTTCCCCGAGGATGTGACAGAGGAGTTAATCCAAGATGCCACACAGCGGCTGTTCTTCCTGCAGGTGAAGGAGGGGATCCTAAACGACGACATCTACTGCCCTCCAGAGACTGCAGTCCTCCTGGCCTCCTACGCAGTGCAGGCCAAGTACGCCGACTACAACAAGGAAGTCCACACGCCAGGCTATCTGTCCGGTGAACAGCTGCTCCCTCAGAGGTAACGCGGATTTATGTCGCCAGGTTAATGATAGTCGATGTCCAATAGATGTCACCTGTCGGGCCAGTGTGTCTCTGCGTGGCGTCTCACACTCTGATGTCTCGTCTCCTCAGAGTTCTGGACCAGCACAAACTCAACAAGGACCAGTGGGAGGAGAGGATTCAAGTGTGGCACGAAGAACACAAGAGCATGATGAGGTAGCGTTTGAAGAAGAGACCTGCTCCTTCAACGAAGGATCTTCTTTTACCATCTTTCCCCCAAAAATACTGGCTGAAGTGTGTATACGTGCTCCTTAATCCGTCTCTCTGTAGCGCTGGTTAAAGACACTTGTTATTTGTCCACAGAGAGGAGTCCATGATGGAGTATCTGAAGATCGCTCAAGATCTGGAGATGTACGGAGTCAACTACTTCAACATCAAGAACAAGAAAGGAACGGAACTGTTTTTGGGAGTGGACGCTTTGGGGCTCAACATCTATGAACAAAATGACAAGTAAGTGATTCCGCCGCAGCGAGAATGCACACGCTCAGCACAATTTGTGTTCCTGTCCGATGTCATGCAGCTGACGCCGAGTTCTTTTTTTGCATTTTCTTCAACAGAATGACGCCCAAAATTGGATTTCCTTGGAGTGAAATCAGGAACATTTCCTTTAATGACAAGAAGTTTGTCATCAAACCAATCGACAAGAAAGCACCCGTATGTTACCCCTCAATAACGGACAACTTCTGTGTGTACGTCTGCGTATCGCTCCTAGTCTCCTCAATCTCTAATGTCGCCGTTTTAGGACTTTGTATTCTACGCTCCGAGACTGCGCATCAACAAGCGCATCCTGGCTCTTTGCATGGGGAACCACGAGCTGTACATGCGCCGCCGCAAACCCGACACCATTGAAGTGCAGCAGATGAAGGCTCAGGCTCGGGAGGAGAAGAATCACAAGAAGATGGAGAGGTAAGAGACATTTGATGTTTTGAACTGTAAAACCTGTATTATGGATGTGTAAACTACTGTACTTTTAAACACCCCGTGTATAATATGGGGATGATCTATGATTACTGTTTCTGTTTCCATTAGAGCTCTGCTGGAGAACGAAAAGAGGAAAAGAGAAGTCGCTGAAAAGGAAAAGGAAAAGATTGAGAAGGAGAAGGAGGAACTAATGGAGAGGTTAAAGCAGATCGAGGAGCAGACGAAAATAGCCCAACATGGTGAGCGACCCGTTAGAGAAGCGTGCACGTTGTCCTGCGGTGGATGCTGACGGTGTTGCTTGTCACGCAGTGCTGACCTTTAGTGCTGACCTTTAGTGCTTTCTCTGTGAACGTGTGTCTGCACAGAGCTGGAGGAGCAAACGCAGAGGGCTCTGGAGTTGGAGGTGGAGAGGAAGAGCGCTCAGGTGGAGGCCGAGCGCCTGGAGGCCGATCTGAAGGGCGCCGAGGACGCCAAGGAGGCGCTGCTGCAACAGTCGGAGAACCAGATGAAGAACCAGGAACACCTGGTCAGTTATCCAAAACTATATGAAAGAAATGAGTGTTCTGACGCTTCAAATATCAAGAAAAACTAAAAGAAAAAACGTGCTTTCAGGCGACAGAGTTGGCTGAGCTGACTTCCAAGATTTCCCTCCTGGAGGATGCCAAGAAGAAGAAGGAAGAAGAGGCGGTGGAGTGGCAAGAGAAGGTATGATCTGATCTACACTAACCAGTCTTCTTCCTGTGGTTGCAGTTGTTGAAGATTAAAGTACAAAAGACATTGGAACTCATGACATGAAAAGAAAGTGTTTTGTTTGAGTTTTTACATCGTGCATATGACCATAGCAGCGTGAATAGCAGAATGTTAATCAATCTGACATCTGCTGATCATGTTGTCCCACAGTGAGGACATTCCTGAGGTCTTGTTGTTGTGTGTTTCTGGGGGGGGGGGGGGGTGAAAGCTCACAGCCTCTCTTTAGGTAGAAACGCTGTGTGCCAGGCCAGCCCCTTCTTCTTCTTTATGGGCAGGGTGACTCATGCCGTTTGCGGCGGTGAAGGCCGTCTTTGTGCCGAGGAAATCCTGTCATGTCTCTTGTGCACCATTATGATGTTCCGTCTTCTAGAGTGCTAAGTGTTGGTTTCCATATCGTGCATTTTTTGGCAAACGGTTTAGTTTCAGTTGAAATTCCAGCCTTACTCATAATTGGCTCTGCACTCCATTTTCACTCTCTCAGCGGTTTTAATTTATTGTTCAGCAAATTCCGCAGCACAAGTCGTCCTCTGAAGTTCTCTGGAGATTAGAGAAAACTATGGGATGGATTGTCGCGTGACTTGTGTTGCTGTCGCTCTCTGTCCCCTCAGGCCACCACGGTGCAGGAGGACCTGGAGAAGACTAAAGAGGAGCTCAGAAACAAGGTGATGGTGTCTCACGTTCAGGAGCCCCCCAACGCGGAGAACGACGAGAACGACGAGGATGACGAGAGCAGCGCCGAGGCCAGCGCCGAGTTCGGAGCCGCCGTCGCGTACAAGGACCGCAGCGAAGAGGAGCGCATGACCGAGGCAGAGAAGAACGAGCGCTTGCAGAAACATCTACTCGTAAGTCTTCGCTCATCAAGTTTGATCCGTAAAGAAATGATTGGATCGATAGATCGAGAGGCTAATTGTAAAGTTTCGATCTTATAAGACACACAGCTGCATTTTAAAGGGCTTTTTTAATGTTTTTTTCATTTTAATTCAATAAATGTGTTGAAGAAGAAAAAATGGGCAAGTGGGTTTCATTACTGCTTTTCTTCCTTCAGTTTGTCACTCTACAGCTTCAGTGTTGAAGTACAAATATGTGTTTATAAATACACTGGCTACTCTCATAGACTGATGAGATAAATCGATCATTGCCTCTCGATTTCTCTAATAAATCAATTTTTACGATGGAGAAAACGAAGATAAAGAGAAACAAATAGACAAGGATTGCTACATTGTAAACAGATGTGGTTAGCTCAAAAAGCAGATGTGAATCACTGAGAACGTGGTGTTTGCACATTCAGGAGGAGAACGAGTCTCGTGTGTCCGTGATAACAAACTGCTGTGAGACGTATTAATGCCGCCGCGTCTGTACTTCCAGGCTTTGAGCTCGGAGCTGGCCAACGCTCGGGACGAGAGCAAGAAAACGGTGAACGACATGATCCACGCAGAGAACATGAAGGCAGGACGAGACAAGTACAAGACCCTCAGACAGATCCGGTCAGGAAACACCAAACAGCGCATTGACGAGTTCGAGTGCATGTGATGTCTGCACAGCCCAATGCAACAACAAAAAAAGCAACAAAAAAAAAGCCCACTCAGCTGGGCCTCTCTGCCTGTCCTGCCTCACACAAGCCGTTTCCTCTGCACCCAAATAAATCAGATCCACAACATGACATGGTTGCACAAGCACAGCACAATGTACAAACATGGATCTCCATTTGTTATCATTCCTGACTATGAATTTTGGCAAGTTACTGGTTGAAAAGGGACAAACTGTATTTTATTAGTTTCATCCCTCACGAGGGGTTTATGTAGCATATTAGCGATGGGCTCTCGCCTCATTTCATGACACATTGAGTAAGCATTTTTAATTTCTTTATATATTTCTGTCACGTTTTTGTATCATGATTTCAAAATAAAACGCTCGGCGACCAATCAAAATTTCCGATTGAAAACTGTGCCTGTTCACATGCAACGGTTCTTCACATCAAGCTAAACGTTGATTCGCTGCCCATCGTTCTAGAAAGAAACTCTCTGTAATCCATGTAGAGCATCACCAGAGCAGTGTTATTCTTTTTGCAAATTCCCTTTAAATTGACTTACTGATCATTTGAGTGTATTCTGGATCTGCCTACTGTTATAAATCGTTCAGTATTCACACCCCACTCAACAGGTGATATTAAAGATCAATTTCATTACATTTTTTTTGTCTGATTTTACATTTCTGAAACTCCTTCAAGTCAGTTTGCAACTACAAGGCTTTAGTGTAAATGTTGTAGTATTCAGGGCCATCTAGTCGATTCAGCGTTCAATGAGTCGATTTTACTGTACCTTTAAGAGTTTTACTCTAGTTTTATGTTCTGCTTACTTGTGAGGAGCCTGTTGGATAATCAGAATATATATATTTTTGCATTGCTATAACCAGTTCAGCATTAGGAATTACACTGTAGTGGTCACAAATAAAGTCATCTGTAAAGGTAAAAGTTGTAGTTTAAACTTGCATTTTGGGAACTTTCCTTTGAAAAAAATCTTCATAGAATAAAATGATTTCATTAACCATGCACTGGAAAACCACAGCTTACCTTTGCAAAATGAGTCAAGACAGACTTACTGTCTCCAATGCATGCTTTTTTGATATACTGTATGTATTTAATTACGTTTGTGTATTTTGTAATTTGGATTTTTTCAGAAGTGCTAGCACTATGTAAGGTGGAAAAACACACCATTGAGGATATTTTTGTATTATAAAAAAAAAAAACTAGAAGTACTCGTCAAAGTAACAGTTTTTGTTCAGAACGAACATCGTTTTGGTGTTAACTAATAGCACAGCTCAGTGCTGTGACAGTGAGCTGATGGAACAAGCAACACCCCAAACACGCCTGTGATGGGACCAATGAAAAGCCAGACGCTACAGGACGCTACTGTGTTCCAGGCAGGCAAAATACCGTGAATGGAAATTATAAACCAAGCCAAAACATTTTGCATGAAAATGAAAACTTCCTTGTCATTTGTTCCCAGATTACATCTTGTGATGCAGACATGCGAAGGGTTTTGCTTGTTCTCAGATATTTAGAAATGAGTGTAAGATTTATTTACGCTATTTTAAAGTTTGAAGTTTAGATTTTTTTATTTTATGCTATTTAGATTTCTCTTATTGAATGAACGTTTGTCATTTGTACCAACATGCATTTTGATATACAGTATTCTCGCCCATTGCTGCGTAAAGTTCTTGTACCATGAAATGTAAAAGTGCAGTCGTTGCCATTTTTGGATGCTCTTCCATGCCTTTGACAATAACTTGCATCATGCTGCACTGTATGTTCTACCTGAAGCACCGTGTATCGACAGCCTTCTTTTAAGGATCAAGTGTAATTTGAACCCGAGTCGTCGTGTTTAAAAAAAAGAAATGTATTAAAAGACGCTGCTCAATATTTTGTCTTGAATCAAAAAGGGCTGAAACGTAATATTGTAAACAGTGCCTTGCCCAGGTTTTCCATCAGATCTTGCTGCTTCAAGTCTTCCTTTCACCGATGAATAAAAATCAAAATAAACAGATTTCTTTTCCTGACTATTTTCTTACCATTACAACCATTTCAACTGAAGTAGGAAAACAGTTTAATTAGTTGTGTGTAATAAGCATCCTTTTACTCCATATTTCACGTCATACATTTAATCTGTTAAAATGTTTACATTAAGTCTATAATACAGTGATCACACTCATCAGATCCATCTGCGGCCCACCGGTTGATAGGCTTTAGTTCCCATCACGCCTGCTGTCGTGCACATAGTTGCAATCCTGCAATGAGCCACATGATGGCAGTTTACCCTCAGTCTTCAATCAGGGGGCCATGGCAACGATTGGAAAGTTTACTCACCTCAATGAACATTTGGGTGATGATATCAAGATTGTCCTAAATAATAACGTCATGTTAATGATTATTGAACTCATCTGTACATAGTATGAAGATGTCAAGAAATTGGGCTTTGAGGTTAATTTTTCTCCAACTTAGTTCTCAGAATAGAGTTTAGAAACTAGCACAATCATCAGATAAGAAAACATACGTACATACATACATACATACATGTGTACATACGTACATGTATACATACGTACATACATAGATGTATACATGTATACATACGTATATATACATACATGTGTAGATAGATACATACATACATACATACATGTATACATACGTACATACATAGATGTATACATGTATACATACGTATATATACATACATGTGTACATAGATACATACATACAGACATACATACATACGTACATGTATACATGTATACATACTGTACATACTTACGGGCGACTGTGGCTAAGTGGAGAGCAGGGCCGTCCTTCAATCGGTGGTTCGAACCCCGGCTCCGCTAGTCGCATGTCAATGTGTCCTCGAGCAAGACACTGTAATTATCTTCCACAGCTGATTTATTTTCCACTTGGAAAAAGAGTTCAATGCTATTTGTTACATTTTTGAAATCCTACTTGGAGACGTCAGGTTTGGACTCAAAACTCAAATATATAAAGTAAAGCCAGTGACTAACAGGCAACCAAATGAAAACAACTCTCTGTTTGATTTTAGCTTTAAAACCCACGAATCTGGATGCAGCTCTCATTTTCTCATGAGTACATTAAATGATAAAGAAATAGAAAGTAATAGAAATATTTTTTTGTTTTCACCGTGTGCACAGCGCTTCTCATTTCTACTCGTGGTAGCTCAATATTTTACATAATTAATTAAATGAATCATGAAAATAAATATTCCACCAAAAACATTCAGGTAGTCAAGAGTTCAGCAATTTTTGTAAGAGGAAATTCAGTTAAGTCTTTACTTGATGGAAATCAACCATCTCTTTCTTAACACCAAAGAGAGGTGGTGTTTTTTTCATCTCCCACTTCCTCTATATTTGTGGTATTAGCAGCCTGAAAAGGGTGTTGAAATGGTTCACACTCTGAACTGCCACGAAGAGATAAGCTACCATGAGTCTTAGTGTCTGAACAAGACTCAGTATGTACCTCAGTGTTTCACATACAATGAGTCGGGATCTCTGTAAATAGCTTTTCTCGCTTCATTCTTCTTCAGGTTGTCAGATGGGAACTCTAACAACATACCATAGCCCTTCAAGTCCTTAACTGTAATACCTTATTCTCATATTGCCAATATCTTGTTCTAAATAGCACCAAAGGGTTTGTCTCATGACTGGAATTCTTAATCCTTTCACAGCACTGGTGGCTCACAAAACGGCAACAGAATTGCCAACTCTGTAGAGTTAAGGAGGGAACAAAAGGTACTTTAAAAGGGCGGACTAAAGCCAATTTGTTTTGAAGACGTCAGTCTTAAAATAATATATATAAGAACAATATGACTGGTGATATGACTATCAAGTATAGGTCATAGCATAATGGTGCACTGGGGCATTCTGGGAACTCCAAACTGGTCTGTATGTGCCCAGTCCTTCAAAACCCCCACTGGCAAATAATCCAGTTCAAAATTCTTCTCATCACATACAAAGCCCTTCATAACCTCACCCCTTCATACTTTTCTGAACTCCTGCATCGACATCCTCCCAACTGCAACCTCAGATTTTACCCCCTATTGGCTTCTCCAAACTCTCTGGGTTCATTAATCTGTCCATTTCGTTTCTGTATACTTGTGGCCTTCTGCATGCTGCTGCTGCATTTGAGACTACAGATGAAAAATAGCCTCTTGGCTAACTCTGGTGCATTTACAGCGATGTTTTTATTAATGTGCACTGTCCCTTATCAAATAAACCAATACATATATAAAAATACAGAGTGGCTGAGCATCCACAAGAACAATTGTCCACTTTGTCACCCGCCCTGAACAGTTGGTATACAGAAAAATTCAATGTTCAGTCACTTTGAGCGGTAAGGAAGTGCAAATTACAGTACACTTGTGGCTGCAGGGGGAAGTCCAGTGAGTGAGTCATCATGGTGCATTAGTCCAGAGTAAAATGAGGAAGTTGCACAGCTCTGTGCAGGCGGAGCCTTCTGGTTGTTGCAAAAAACATGTAGGTAATGTTAGTGTTTAAGTAAAAAGTGACAGTAATAACTTTTGACAGTTTTGAGTGTTACTTGGAAGTTAAGGATTCCAGACATTCTGAAATCATTGCATGGACTGAGGTGAACTGACAGACCACCAATCAGCCGTGCAGACAAAATGCTGATGCTCGTCTTTGAAGCAGGAAGGAGCAGATGACAGCCAGCGAAGCATGATTTGGATGGAAATTAGAGCAAAATAGGACTGACATTGCCATTAATGGAGATACTATAAAGAATAGTGTGATTATAGAATAATAAAACAGACCATTTGATCTAATTTGTCATTATTTAAATCTCCCAAGAGTGGTTGCTACTTTCTTGGCTTTTAGTGTTCTAAGCCTGCATACATGCAGTTCCATAAGCACGTTCTTCACAATAGTTGGGACACATGCAACTGTTGAAAACGTCTCAGCAAACCATTATCTCTCAAAGCCGTGAGCCTTCAACGGCATTTCACAACAGTGACATGTTGACACTTTATTTCCACACATTTCCTGAGAGCTAGCTTTGCAGTTATCTTCCTTGTTTTGACTTCCTCTTTGCAGCGTCAGGCTCGATGGTCAAATGAATTGTCTTGTGTGCGGAGTCATCACTGTGATCTCTTGTGAGAGAAAGAGGAGCGTTGCACTCTGACTCATCTGCTTCAACATCAAGAGATCCGAGCTCTCAGGTAACAGTTTGGCGTCTCGTTTCTGTGAAAAGGAGATTATGTGCATGTCTTTTTTGTGTCTTTGATAATGTTTGGTTGGAGCGACACCAGTGTCTTTGTTCTTTTATTCCACAGAGCCATCTTTGACGTTGCCAGATCAGGCCCCCCACTTAGTGTATTTGACAAGCTGAGTTTGACACTCTGTATCTCTGAGTGTCAGTTTGTCAAATACCCCAAGTGAGGTGTCACTTGCCTACAAATGTGACCCATCCCGGGTTACTCCACAGACGGACCAGCCCGCTCCTCAGGGTGCTCTACCGCACCATGGACACTGAAAAGCACCATGTTTATTGTATTATCTGTTTAACTGCCATTTATTTTGGAAATCACATGCAAGTTACTCTCATGCATATCATAGTTTTAATTAATTGAAATATTATTTATGCCGTGAGAATTTTTTTTTTTCTAAAATAGAGTTGCTAATAGATTTATTGACCAAAGAAAAACACCCTAACCTCTTTTTTCAGTCTATTTATTTCTATGCCTGCAGCACAGTCACTACACATCTCAGCCAAAACATGCCACATGTTATTTTCAGGAGAGGTAAGGCTGCTCTGACATTCCATCATTTGTTATGGTTCCTCGGATCATTTTTATTTCCAGAATTGTTTTGACACAATTTGCATCCAGGAGGTTACAAAGGTTCAAATAAAGTTCTGAGAAGCGTTGCTCCAAGCCCCATGAGAACAACCTAAATGTGACGTCTTGAGTTTGCTGATGATCTGTTGCCAAACATTAAAATGTGTGCTAAATGTGACGTATATGTATTCGCACAATTTCTTGTGAAAGAGCAAATCCATGTACTGGACAAAATGATCGGTTTCTGCCACACCTAAAGGGATGACCAGCCTTTCATAAGACTGCACACATGTCAACATTTCAGGTATTTGCCTCATTTCTCCCATTCAGTCTTTTGCTTATTTGTTTTTTTTCAGCTGCGATGGACGTGTCCTTTCCCTGCCAACATGTGGGAGTGCCTCTTTTCAGTTTCCCCTGTGCAAACTGGACTCTGACTCGGGTGACTTGAGGTAGAGAATAAATAAACCGTGCCCCATGTGCCCCCTGAATCTTTTCGGGACTTTTTGTGTGCAAAAATGTGTATAACAGTGTATAAGGATTGTCATAGGCTGATGTGTGATATCTCAAGGGTTCTACTTATGATCTAAAGCTGCTGGAAGTGGTGCAGACAGAAGCTTATCATCCAACTGACTGCACTTATCGGTGCGCCTTGCATTTCCTGTTCCTGTGGGGATACGCTGAGTTGCCTGCATATGTGTGTGTGAACAATTGTGTATACCTGTTTGGCATTTAAACGCCTTAACTCACTAACTGTTGTCACGAAGGTTTTTGAAAAGCACTTAGTCATTGTGGGTGAGAATAGCCAGAAAAGAAGGCTCGCTTGCATACTGCAAAATGTGACCCGATGCTGTAGCACATCCTGGTATTTTTGGCATACTGCATTTGAAATACTATGCTTTGGGAAATTCTGAATGTTTTTTTTTTCTGGCATACTCGATGGTATGGTGGCAAGGGTGATGGAGTGCACAGCAAGTGAATGTCTACTGCTCTGCGTCATTGCACGGGGAGGCTGGTAACACATGGTGTAAATCATGAGCACTCTGTCCTGGCTGCAGAAATGAAAGCATCCATCCCTCCGTCTACCAACACATGCTTGATGTAAACAAAAATAAGTGGATAATGTGCAGTCGGGTTTCATCTGCACAGCGTTATGTGCAGATTTTACAGATCTAGTTTTTAAGACACAC